AAATAAATGCATTTTATAAGACAATGAAAGTGTTTTTTGACCTTGCATGCATGTCAGCCTGTTGTTGATGACTCCCAAAACCAAAATATGAACCTTTCATTACCCATAATAGGGGCACTTTAATTGTCAATGTGAAACAGAAAAGGAGGTGTTTCACAGAATGTCATGTGGACACGTGGAGATCTAAAATGGACAAAAATGGCACCATAAAAGTATTTCATGTGACTTTCCTATATTTTTCCCCTCTACACTTAAACTCAAATTTTATTGGCATAGATTCAAAATGGCACGTCATGCCAGGCTTGATGTCAGTAATGCCAAATTGCAGTTAGTTATCATGTGTCTTGCAACTATGTCAAGTCTGAATATGCAGAAGTGCAAATTTTATTATTGGATAATTTTATAGTTTTTGCCCTTTTTCTCACTCAAAGCGACTTAGAAGGGTTTTGTCGGCTACTTTTATGGTGCTATTTTTTATATTTTATAGTTACATTTTATTTGTATAGCGCTTTTTGGAAATGCACATTGTGTCAAAGCAGCTTTACAAAAAAAAAAATCATGATTATAAATTATCTTCATGCTTTACAGTTGTATTTAACAAATTAGAGTTGGGAAATAATATTGTTTAGATTTTTCGACTATATGAACAATCAAGCAGTTGAAATTTGCTGTATAGTATAGGCCTATATCACTTTACATGCATATACTGCACGTATGTATGCTGATGAAGTTGGATATATGGAGAAAAAACCCTGTCACCATTTACATTTATTGAATGGAATAGAGCAGCATGAACATTCTGCAAAACGTATTCTTTTGAGTTCCACAGAAGAAAGTAAGTCATACAGGTTTGGAACAACATAAATGTGAGAAAATCATGAAAAAAAATTCATTTTTTGGGGAAACTGTCCCCAAAAGCACCACAGCACCCATTATTAGGATTGTTTTTTGTGTACATTCACTTGAAGGTCCCTGTAGGTGACAGTTTCAGACCCCTTTCCCATGCATCTGTTTTTCACCAGAGCTGTCAGTTTATTAACTGACAGGCACCGTTTAGCCAGCTCAGTCTGGGTCCTCTCTTACTGCAGGCTTATACAACACCAAACACCGACCGCATCACTTCCCTCAGTCAGAACCCTGCAGCTGACGCTCTAGGAGCCCACTTGACTTTATGAGCAGCTGTTTAACATTGACAAGTGCAACTTTTGACCCATTACTGAAGATGCATTTTGGAGCACTTTAACCTCTGCACAACACTGCAGCTGTAGTGCTTGTTTTTGGCACGAGTTTATATGGAAAAACAGCTCGCTGCATTGCAGTCATGCTTTAATAATGAGGAGGAATGCAACTTAAGTAGAAAATGCCTTAAGCGTTTGTGCAAGAGTCTGGTTTTGTAGGTTAGTCTTTGTGTTTTGTGAATGTACGTGTGCTGAAGGTTTTTGCTCCTTGATTTCCCAGGAGACTATTGTGACTGTGTCCATCATCTTTCTTCTTCCCAGCGCTGTGCTCAGTTTATGAATGATGTTTAGACTCTTATTTTCAGTGCAGCTCATATGGTGGCGACAGGCTGCATTAGATTAAGTGTTTAAATATTATTTTTGGATTTTATGTATAGCTTGAGACTTTGAGGCTGAAAGGCGTGTTGAAGGATGTATGTGTGTGTTAAGGTTAAGGTCAGTGTAATGTTACCCTCGGCTAGCATTGGGAGTGAGAACAGCGCTATAAACAGGAAACTGATGTCACAGTCTGGATTTTAGCCAGACACAGGCTGATCATGGACAGAAAGTGCATATATACGTGAAGTTAGTGTATAATAGGGGTCTTTCAGGCCAAGAACTAAAAGCGAGTGTTGCATTTTAAATAGAAATGCCCATAATAACATGCATATGATACTATTATGTTGTATTTACTTCTTTTATGATGTTTACATTAAAAATGCATTTAAATAATAATTTCTGATATGTAGAGTCATTATGTTAAATTTGAAATTGATTAAATATTTTAATTGCATATAATATTTTAATTATTTATAAATTGGTTATGGTTTGAATTTTATTTTATTTTGTTCTATTTTGTTTTATATATATTTTTGCCCTGCAGTACTGCTGTGGACCCCCTAGGGGTCATAGACCCCCTGTTGAAGAACCCTGAAATAGTTTTTCTTTATGTATTTAAAAAAGTTACTCCCTCATTGAGATCATGTCACTCTGATTGACTGCTGACAGCATTGACATTATGATTGACAGGTCAGGCGATAACATAACTAGAAAGGGTGCAACACATTTGAATATATCAGTGTTTGATTGATGTTGTTTTTGTTATGTTGAGAAATCACACTGGATTTCCACCAGCGCCGCTGGCCGATCCCAAAGCCACGCTTGTGACCAGAATGATATTAATTTTCTGAGCTCATGGGAACTCTGAGAACCAGACGAGATCTATATTTGTCTGTGTTTGTGATGGGACTCTTTGCACGTCAACATTTAATGCCACTCGTGATATTAGGATTAAAATATGAGCCTCTGGACATGGTCTGAAATAGTTTCATTTGATTTTTATCTCCAAAGTGCTCATTTGCAAATTAATTGTGTCAGTTGTTTTGTAAATGAATGTTCTGATTTCAGAGATGGGTTTATATTCCACATAATGCATTTCTTGTTCATTTTTATGCAGCTGCTGTAGATTCCATCATGGAATTGTAATCAGGCAAAATGACACAAGTTAAGGAACAGACTCTTGCATTCTCCTGAACTATGTCTGTTGAACAAAGATGCCTATTCTTGGGCTGTTTTTATGAGGAATCGTCATACATGAGAAAATCACAAGAATCTGAGTTCAACAGGAAGTGAGGCCTCTGTTATGTCAGCCATTACACATATGGTGCATGATGTTATTACAAGAGAAAAAAATCAGTTCACAATTCACATGTGTTTTGTGTTCTGAGTAGTGTTAGATAGTGCTTTATAATATGTGACCCTGGACCACAAAACCAGTCTTAAGTGTCAATTTTTCGAAATTGAGATGTTGCATGTTTCTAACATCAATGAGATGAGATTGTCCTCGAAAATTTACTTACCCTCAAACCATCCAAGATGTAGATGAGTTTATTTCTCCATCAGAACAGATTTAGCATTATATCACTTGCTCACCAGTGGATCCTCTGCAGTGAATGGGTGCCATCAGAAGCAATGGTTTAAAGTTAAAATGCCTTTATGACGGATTTGTTTCTTGCAAACACAGCTTTTCACTTCGAAAGACATTTATTGATTAACTAGAGTTGTGTGGATTACTTGTGGATAATTGTGATGTTTTTATCAGCTGTTTGATCTCTCATTCTGACGGCACCCATTCACTGCAGACGATCCATTGGTAAGCAAGTGATGTAATGCTTAATTTCTCCAAATCTGTTCAGATGAAGAAAACTCATCAACATCTAGGATGGCCTGAGAGTGAGTACATTTTAAGCAAATTTTCATTTTTGAGTGAACTATTCCTTTAAATATTTTAAAACATTATATATAATAGTTGTGTATCAAAGATCATAGACTGACAGCACTACTTTGTACTAATTCAGAAAACCACTGAGGCTTCAGTTGTGTAACTGCTTTGCCTTATTCGTCCTGAGGAATGCTGCATGATTGCGATGTGCGTTGCGTGTCCAGTGATTGATCCAGATGTCTGTCTGCGTGTAAAAATAATTCTCTGTCCCCACAGAATAATTCATAGCTCAGATACGCTGGATAAAGCTGATTGGGTGCTATCAAAGCTGCCTATAATCCTTTAAAGCTCAAGACCCTGCCTATGCTGCTGCTTCTGCCTGTATGTGTGTGTGTTTCCCCACTGGTTCATTACTATTTAATAGATGTTTGAAAGACTTTAATCTGCAAAGCATGATCAATAATACAGCACAGGGCTCATTACAGGGGAATATATATCATTCAGGAAGAGAGAGGGAAGTGAGAGAAAACAAACAAGGGAAAAAGAGAAAGAGGGAGTGAATGGTAGAAAGATAAACGGAGGAATGGAGGGGGAGGTGTTGCTGGCAAGACAATTAATTTTCCGCTAATCCCACGCAGGCATCTGATCTAAGAGGATCAGAGAGGTGAATCGTCTAGTCAGGTCTTGCATTGCTGACTGTCTCTGTGTCCTGTGTGTGGACCTCACGTCGTTCAAAAGCATTATCCAATTTACATTTGCCTTGTGATATTATAGACATATATCACTGATTCAGCTAATACTTTAAGATACCACTGTAATTATGTATCTATTCATATTCATATATAATAATTTATTAATAACAATACTTATAAAAATAGTAGTAGTTATAATTTATATTTATATAATTATACTCTCACACACAATTCTTATACTTTTTATGATGGAAGGATGCAGTTTAGTGGACTTCAAAAAAATCAACAGCCATCCACTGCCATTATAAAGCTAGGAAGAGCCAGGACATTTTTTAATATAACTCCGATTGTATTCGTCTGAAAGAAGAAAGTCATATGAAGAGGTTCCTCAGATGAAGGTGTTGGACTGGATGGATTTAGTAGGTTCTCACTAGAGATGACAGGTGGAAGCTGGGGGTGGGGGTGTGGGACATGCATAGCTGCACATCTCCTTTTCAAACAGAGAATGTGGGAATGACAGCGAGACAACTTTTAAATGCCATTTCGTGGCATGAGCTAATGTTTATTAGAGCAGAGAAGAATTGAAAAGTTAAGTTCAATTCACAGTATTTCTGGCAAAAAATAAAATAAAATATATATATGTATATATATATATACAGTATGTATGTATATATAGATATAGATATGTATATATATATATAGTATTATTTTTATTTGCATTTATCTGTGAAATATAACGTGAGTTAACATTATTTTAATGTGTGCGAAGACACTATTTCATATATCTGGCAGCTGAACAAATTTTGAATAAATTATTATGTATAATTGACTGATTCATTTATCTTTGATCTCTTTTTTTTTCTGTCTCAGATGATGTGTGTGACTTGAAAGCAGAGCGGCCGGGTATAGGCAGCGAAATGACAGCCAAAGAGCGAGGCTCACTGGAGGACAACGAGGAGAGAGACCAGGAGGAGGTGGAGGCTGGAAACGGAGAGAAGGGGCAGGAGGATGAGCAGGAGAAGAAGGAGGTGAAGGAGGAGACGGCGGAGGAGGAGAAGGAGGGGGACAGAGAGGAGCAGAGAGGAGTGGATGACGAAGATGAGCTGGAGGTGCTGAGGTCGCAGGTGGTGCAGCTGCTCCTGGAGCTGGAGGAGACCAGAGAGGTGTCACAACGACACGAGGAGAGCTACAACGAGCTTCAGGGTGCGTATGCTAATGGGGTCTGTTTTTAGGGTGTGACATCATCACCGAGGAGTTCCCTCTGAGCATGCTCAGCTGTCACTGACCGCCAAACCACCTGTTCCTCCAGTCATGCCCTCACACAAACATTCCTGGCTTGTTAATATTGTCGGATGCCAGTGATAAGTTAATAATTACTCATGTCTCTCCAGTCGCCATTTAATGTAATTGTTTTGCTTTGTAGGTCTTTTGGAGGAAGAGCGGCTGGCAAGCGCCCACCAGGCCGAGAGCTTTACGAGACAGATCCAGAGACTTCAAGGTGAACAGAAACATTTCTACAATTAGAAACAGAAGCAGATGTGAACGCATCACAATTCTAAAGATAAAATAAATAAAATTAACTTTAGACTTTAAATATGACAGATATAAATTATTATACTTAGTCATCAAGCAGCAAAAATATCCTCTTACATTTAGCATATTGCATAACAGCTGTGTCCATCACTATTGAATAAACATTCTTGATATATCAAGCTGTTTCATGATTTCAACACAGACCACAGATGATTTGAAGAGGCTATTTGCATATTCATATCTTTGTGCAGTATTAAAAATAGAAAACATTTGCTATGGTTGGAAATATTATACTACACATAGTGCTACTCAATATACTGTTGTACTACTACCCAGATAACATTTGCCACAATGTGCAATATACATTATAGTACAATGCACTGGGTACTTTTTTCAGTATGCACTATATACTATGCAGAATGCAGTGAGCTCACATTGTATTTTGAACATTGCCGATGTACCTTTGTTCCAATACAGCTTCATTATCTTTATGAATACATTAAAATTGATAATGTCAGCTAATTGCATTACTCTCTGCACGTCATGTTCAAACACTCCTGCAAGGTCTTCTTGTATTCAAACTCAGTGTTATCTGTGATTGTATTTTTCCGTACATTTCTGCCATATGTACATTGACTGACAGTCAACACTGATGAGCTACCACTAAATATTGTAGAAACTTAATTTGCTGTAAAGTTGCTTTGCAATTATTTGTATTGTGAAAAGCGCTGTACAAATAAACTTGAATTGAATTGAATTGAATTGTATCATGATGGAGATTATCTCAATCAGTCCGGTAACTAGTCCTTCAACCCTGAACATCTCGTTTCCAGTAGTTTGGTCGAGTGCTACTTGGGTGTAAGAGGGAGTAGAGAGGGCCAGTGTGAGAAATGGGAAAAGCAGAGATGATGGAATTGTTGTTCACTTCCCCAGTGGCTCCCTTTCACTCTCTCAGCGGCTGTGCTGTAATTAAATTAAATGAACTGTGAGGAGGCAATGTAAACCAGCGTTTGCAGAAGTGCACGGGCTGTGCCGAGGTACCATCATGAGTAATGGAATCACAGATATGAATAACACAACAAACCACTGCCAGAATCAGATTCACACGCTGAAGAAACGGCTCTTCGGTTTAATCACAGCCTGTGCCAAAGCGTTTTTTTTTTTTTTTTTTTACCATCTGTTTTCCCGCCTTGCAAGAAGGAGACTGATTATAGTTTTCCAGAAGCCCCTGCAGACTAAAATTCACACTTTGTGTGGTTAGTTTGAGAGGTTTTGACATTTTTTTTGCTACTTGTCAGCTGGACGTGCTGAGTGAATGCTGTAATGAGACGTGAATCGAAGGCTTGTATTTTTCACTTCAAATGTCCTTGGTTTTCAGTGAAGTGGCTGATTATAGACCTCAAATGGTCCTTAAACAGCACATATATACAGTAAATGTTGCATGGATTTTATTAGTTAGTTGTCAACTCATAAGGTTTTAGAAGTGTATGCACCTACTTTCATACATATTCTGAAATAGCATACTACTCCTACCATTTCTGCAGTATATACTGTGTATGCTGTACATAGTATCCACTTTTTCTGTGTACACTAAATATCCAGATGACCCGCATATGTGAGGTATTTGAATTAGCTTTTATTTTATATTGCCAATTTTTGTTTTAAATTTAGTAATTTGATATGTTCCTTGTTATTATATATATATATTTTTTATTTCATTTGTATTTAAATTTTTCCAAGACAACATTTCTATTTTTTATTTGAATTCAAGTTTACATTTGTTTATCTTATTTTTATATTTTATTTTATTTCAACTTTAATTCAAGTACCACATTTCTTTTACAGTTTTAGTTTTAGGTAACAATATTTTTTTCAAGATTTAATAGGTTTTTACACCAATGTCAATTAGATATATATATATATATATATTTTAATTTTTTTTGTGTAATTTTTTTTATTACTATTTAATTTTATTTCCAAAATAAAAAATGGACATCACAAACAGAAATAAAATGTGTATCATCCCACTGTTTAAAGTGTCAATTTTTGTATCCTGCATACTGTTTTAGATACTATTGAGAAAAATTAGGCAGTATAAAGCGTCATTAGGTGAAAACAGAAGTTGTTTTTTAGATATTCATTCATACACAAAAAATTAAACCTGTGCTGCCCGAATCAGTTTATCATTTATCCTTTATTATTTTGTCTGATTTTAAATTTTAAAACTTTTTAGGCACTTAAGGATACTTTTTTCTCACTTCTTTCCTAATAACACACTTCAATACCATGGTATTACCTAAGAGTACCATGTGAATGCCATGCTATATGAATATGGTTTTATTTCATGCTTTTGTACATATCACAGTACCACTGTATTACCATATTATGCCATCACTGTACTGCAATACTTTTTGTTACTCAATTTTTAGTTGAAAATATTGTTGTGTTCCTGTTTCTGACCCACAGCTCAGCTGCGTTCGGTGCAGGAGGAACTGGACAGTCTTGAGGAGGAGAAGGCCAGCGAGCTGTGGGAGGCGCAGGAGGAGCTGCGTGTGGCGCAGGAGGAGGTGCAGGAGCTGCAGCAGGCGGCGGAGGAGGCCGCAGCCGAGCGGGAGAATGACATCGCCCTGCTGCAGGAGGAACTGTGCCGTCTGCGCGCCGAACTGGAGCGTCTGCGCGGCACCACGCAGGAGTACGAGCTGGAGCTCACCACACTGCGGGCTGAAATCAGCATGAAGAACCAGCGCAGGGAAGAGGAGGAGAAAGCAGCAGGAGAAGGTCTGATTCCCACCACACTACAGGCTCCCAATGGAGATATCCCAGATAAAAAGACCAGTTTATATCAGCTTGAAGCGTAGGTTATACTGGCTAGTCCTGGTCTGGCTGGTGGATCAACAGAGCCATGCTGTTTGCTAGACATTAGTGAAGCCTTGTTGTCCAGCTTGATCTTTCTAATGAGACTGGTTGGTCAAGGATGTCCTGTTAGTTAGGGACACCAGTATAATGTGCTCCACAATGAATGGGACTAGTTAACCCTGTTCACTCGTATGAAACTCAACACACTCTTAAAAACTGTGGTAATGTATGGAGTAAATGTAAATGACCTTTAATGAGCGGTGAGATGGTGCAACAAGGAAATAATACAGCACACACTCACACCCCTCCAAAACAACTCTCTGCAATTGGCAGGATGGGCCCATTTTCCATGAGGGTGTGTGTGTGCTATCGTGCTCCCATATGTTTGTTTGGATGTGCTCAAATGCAGAAGCTAAGAAGTGTGAAATAGTGTGAATGCAAATGTCTATTTCAGGTTTCTATATTTAAGAATTACATACACAAGTAATTAATTAAGAGAAAGACAGATTTTGTGTGTGTGTATTTGTATGTGAGTGTCAGTGTGTGGATTTTGCCTATTGTGGACTACAAATTTTTCAAGGAAAACCTGAAATCACAAATTTGGCAACAAATCACCATTAAGGAAAATTTGCTTAATCAGAGTTATTATTGTTAACTAAAATAAAAACTATTAAAAACTGGTATAAATATATTATATATAAATATATATTAAAAGTATAAATATTAGATGAAAAACCTAAACTTAAAAAATAAATAAATGAATAATAAATAAATGAAAATATATAAATAAATGAAAATTAGAAATGTTGCTGAAAATAAGTTAAAGTTAAATAAGTTTAAGTTAAAATACTAAAATAAAAAAAAACATAAAAAAATAAATAAATCAGAGCTAAATAAAAATATTTATACAACAGAAACTAATAAAAATCATAAAAACACAAAACTGAAATTAAAAAGAAAATATAAAAATGAAGCTAATTACAAATATTAAAACTATAATATACAAATATATATAAAAATACTTAACATTGGGCTTAAAAACATACTAAATAATGCCTTAATGAAAATGTTAACATGCAAAAATGTTTATGTGAGGCTTAAGTGATACTATGCTAATATCATTACAACATATAAATTATCAATATAAAAATAATAAAGGTTTCTATACTTATTAGTTAAATATAAAAACAACATATGGTTCACCATGATAGAAAATCAAATGTATGCATTTCTGTGGGTCTGCTTATCTATAATTTTGGGGTATAATCCATCTTATTCCACACACATGCAAAGTTACATGCTCAGTGGAGTCAATTTTTTCCAGACCTCATTTGAGTTTCTGTACGTTAGCCAGCTGAGATTTCTCCAGCAAGACTTTTTTTTATCTCACATAACCTCATTCCAACAGTACTGACAGATGCTGATAGCAAATAAACCCTGTAGAGCGATACAGACGTTTTATCAACTTTTCTTCCCCATTGCCTGATACGACACAGTACTCTGATATTACCCAGAATGCATTGTCACTGACAAATGCGAGTGTCTTACAGGTTCTTTCAGTGTCTGAGTGTCTGTTTGACATTCTGACAGAGTGCAGGACCTCTGCGGAGCCCCATTTGTCTGGTGTTGATGTCTTTCTCTGCCTCTAAGGGCGCCGGGGCTGCTTTCTGCTCCCTTAATGCCGGTAGAGCTTTACTATATTAAGATCTGCAATAAAAACAACATACCAGCGATTACTGCTGGTGGGGTCGTGCGGTCAGATGCGCTGATCGCTAAGCAGTGTTGAACACGAACACATCAGAGCCTCTGATTGATGCATGCATGTTACCTCTGATCTGGGGTCAGATGCGACTGATGGTTATTTAAACCACGTACACATTCAGGCCTGGCAGAGACAGAGTGCAGAGTTGTTTGCAAGTGAGATTCCTTCTAGATTAGAGCCTATGCTATCGGGGGTTGAACGTTGCACCATGGGGGACGTGCAAGGCAAACATGACTCCTGATTGACAGGTCAGACTGCTGCAGCGGGAAGAGAGCAGAATGGGTTGTTTCCATGGAGACTAGTTGCAGGGTTTGGTGTGTATTTACGGCTCCCTGGTAGGGCTGGGCGATATAGCTAAAAAATTTATCAACGATATAATGTTTCATATCGGTCGGTATCGATAATTATTTACATTTTTTATAACCCTTTTTAAAACAAAGAGCAATAGAATTTTTTTTTTTATTTAACCACTGTATTTTTAAATTAACCCAATTTATTGTGACAAACAACAAATATTTTTTGTTTTAACAGTCAACAGTAACAGTAAAAAATTAAACAAATATCTAATTTCTAATGTTTTATATGCAGATTAAATAGGTCTTAATCTTTTGGCTTGTTTCCCGAGGCCACAGGAGGGCGCAATGAGCAAAATAATGCAGCGCATTAAATTAAATTCAATGAGCAAAATAATGCAGCGCATTAAATTGTCAACGCAAGGAAATAACTGTCTATAAAAAACGTGCATTACGTATAAATTCTCATATAAATCAAATATAATTTCGTAAATTGCATAAACAATTATGTACAGAACAGCATCATGTGTTTATGCATTGCTTAATACAAAGAGCCGAAGTGCCATTCACACAGATTGCCTTTTAAAACATATGAGACACAGTGAAAAGGAATAAACCTCCACAAATTCGTGACGTGTTTTCTAAAAGTTTAAACTGTTTTATCTTTGCATGGTGAGACGCGAGTGCAGCAGTCATATTTATCCGTCTAAAAAATGCGCTGAATTTGCGTTCTGTGTGAATGGCTTGGTTTCGGTTTGAACCTAATCAACATTTTCTACGCATTGATATACTATATTTCTTTAATATTTTGAATGAATAACGCAGCAGCGGCGCGTCTCGTGGGCTAGACTAACAAAACATTAAAATGTCACTTACATCAAAACACAACGTCACTTACATTATCATCCCCCCATCTCGCGCGCCACTGATGACGCTCCCTGACGCACACCTAACATTCGATTGTACTATTTTTATTGTTAGCAAAATAATCTTATTTCAAACAGAAAACAAGATTATTTTGCTTACCCCATTGGCAGATTATTTTGCTTGTTTCAAGCAAAAACTCACTTAAGTTTGACTTGTTTTTTCTGAAAACAAGACAATAATTTTTACTTGACTAGAAAATCCTTCTTGATTTAAGAATTTTTAGATATTTTGTCTGGAAACAAGACAAAAGATCTAAGCTAGAAAAGCATTTTTTGCAGTGTATGCTTGGACACAGTTTGATCCTACTGCTAAAAATGTAGATGCATTTGCGCAAAATTTGATGAAAAATAATTACATGATCGCTTAAGTAGATATGCAATGAAGGTCATGTGACTACAATGTAGTATATGACTTTAAATCGGTTATTGTTATGTATACTGTCAAATTTTTTTTTTGTTAATTTACATTTTTTTTTATAAATTAAAACTTTTATTCAGCAAGGATGCATAAAATTGATCAAAAGTGACTGTAAAGACATTCATAATGTTACAGGAGACTTCTATTTCAAATAAGTGTTGTTCTTTTAAACTGTCTCAAATACAAAGCATCCTGGAAAAAATATATCATGTTTCCACAAAAATATTAAGCAATAATAAATGTTTCTTGAGCAGCAAATAAGCATATATGTATGTTTTCTAAAGGATCATGTGACATGGAAAACTGGAGTAATGATGCTGAAAATTCAGCTTTTCATTCGCAGGAATAAATTACATTTTAAAATCTTTTAAAACAAAAACAGTTATTTTGAATTGCAAGAATATTTTCACAATTTTACTTTTTTTTTTTCAAATAAATGCAGCATTGGTGAGCATATGAGACTGTTCAAAAACAATAAAATATCTCACAGAACCTAACCTTTTGAACGATAGTGTATTATTATTCAAGTGCAAATTTTTGCAACTTTGGTATGCTAGAATTTTTGTTCAGAAAATGTGACTACAGTGAATACTGTATTTTCATAGTATATTTGCAATTTGGTTAATTTGATTTTGTTGATCATGCAGGTATTTCTTGCAAAATATGGTAGCATTCCATTTCTAAACAAATTTAGAATAGCGGACATAGTAAAATGCTAGTATGCTATTCTGAATTTACGTTTTTTCCCTACTTCTACTGACATCTGTTCTTATTTTGTGATCGGACAGGTGACATGGACCAGCTGATGGAGGAGTGTCGCTCCTTGAAGGACGAGTGTCAGACTCTAAAGAACGACAACAAGCAGCTCTCTGAGAAACTGGAGATGCTGGAGCAGCAGCGAGCCAGGTGATTGGCCACATGGCCTGTCAATCAAACACAAACAAGATAACTCAGCCACTGAGCATCGCAAACTCTGTCTGTTAATAAGGCCGGCGTGACCGCTGAAGCATTCAGCCATAATCTGTCTCAATGGACACTCTCGCTAAAACTATTTAGCAGCTATGAAAGTGTTTCACAGCAACATGAAACATTAATGACTGTGTATTTCATCTTATCCAAATATTTTGGCAGCGAGATGAGCCACTGTTGCCTTACAGCTATTTTAAGACATCAAGGTTTCTTTGACTTTATGAATCTAATTCAATCTCTATTTTAGTGAGAACAGATGATTATAAACAGTTAAAAATTTAGAAAATGTGCTGAATCATTTTGCATAGGCACAGTTTGATATTCTAATGCATCTCTCAATAAATTGTCTGATTTGAGTTGTAAATCTGCCCAAACACACACATTTCCGCACCACATGTCAAAACAGGACTGAAAAAAACAATTACTAGCATAATTCTCTTCTCTAATGAATGGGGTTTGTTATGTGCATTTATTATTGATTTTTAAATATGAATTTTAATAACTAAAGTTTTTTTATTTTATTTTATGTAGTTTATTTTTCTGTGACATTTATGTGTTTACTGTAAAGGCTTTTTTGAGCACTGTGAGAGACTAAGAGAGTGAATGAGGGAGAGAAACCAAAGAGTTTGAGATTTTGAATAAATGATTATGAGAATGAATCAGTGATGAGTACTGCAGTGCGGCTGTCACACACACACACACACACACACACACACGCACACACACAAAGTCACAATATGAAATTCATCTGCAAAGAGAGCAGCAAGAGCTCACAAGTTCAAGTACATTAGTAATACACTAAAAATACATCACAACATGTACATCTATCTACAATAAATTTTCTGTACATTTCCTGCTTCTGTCCTGACAGCTCAGCTGATTCATGCCTGGCACAGAAAGTAGAGCAGAATGATGGAGAAAATGACACAGAAAAAGATGTAGAGAAGGAGGTGACGGCTGAGGGTTTCGTCAGTACGTTGGAGGTAGGAGGAGGGGAATGGGTGGACGCTTATACCCAAAAGAACATCTCGTTTGAGGGCAAACTCGTCACCCCGACAGGCATGAGTGGAGGGTTTTCGGAGGTGTTCTCTCTCAGAGACCAGGTGAAACAGGCTGAGGAGAAAGCATCACAGGTCCAGAGAGAGGTACGGCATCCAGTATTTACACTAGTGATAGAATTAGTTGCCCACTTGGCCAAATAACAGATGTTTCAACTTTAGAGTGCATTTTCAATTTTAAACGTTTTTGGATCATTTTTGGTACGAAATAGCCACCTGAAAATGTTTACATTTTTCAGTCAGTACCAATAAATTCCAATCAACTCCAATCAATTACTTGGTTCAAATGGATTAAGTCAAGAATTGTGGTTCATGTTAACTTTACTTTCTCATAGATCGACATTATATAAGAGATTTGTCGAGCAACAGACATTGTGTAAATTTGTATATATTTAATTACATTTATGATGTGTTTATTTAAATGTATTTAAATTTAATGTTATATATTATATTATATTATATTATATTGTATTATATTATACTAATATTATATTATATTAATATATATACTTATATATATATTGTGCAAATTTTATATATATATATATATATATATATATACAGTATGTGTGTGTA